TCAAATACCACATGTTGAATAAGACATATAAGTGAATCACGTGAATATTCATGATACCTTCTTTCGATACCTACTGTTACGAAATCTTCGTGATATGTCAACAGCTTTTTGTAAATTGATGCTCGAAGATAGTACCTACATTAGAGCTAGCGTGCAGAAAGAGACTTTTGTAAATGTAAAGCATGAAACAGTGAAAATAATGTTATAAATTTCTCAAATTTCGTATACATGCTTCAAATCGATTTCTTATACTTAAACAGACAACTTCTGTTACATAATTTGTTAAGAAAAACCATTTAAAATGTTATCTTATTATTATGATCAATTACATGCTATTACATGACATTGTAAATTGAAATTTTATCCTCATTTACTCCTCTTCTTTGAGGATGATTTTCACTCCTTCGATATGGACGATGGCCGATCAAAAAAATTTAATATTTTTCTGAGTACTATCATATACCAAAGTGTCATCGATATTCATGATTATCACTTCGAGATGTTCCTTTGTTACGGCTTGGTACTTTATTTCGTTTTGACATTCTATGGAATAAAAGAATGTCGATTTAAGACTTTGTGGAGAATATTTGGAATTGCCATTAATGTTTTATAAAATTTACATAACACGTTGACCGCCAGGTTGGTCATCTGTGGCCGAAGATTGTTTCCTCGATGGTGGTCAATAGTGACCGGAGGTCCTCAAATGTTTAGAATAATTAAAATAAAATGAATATCGTCAACTAAAAATTTCGAACATCATAGCCAACTAGACATTATTTTGAATTGAAAAAAGAATAGTAAAGCATAATATAATACTAAGCTTAGAATAATGAAAATTTTCTTGTGGTCCCCTGAGCAAAACATGTAAATCTGGCGTGGCAGTGAACGTATTAAATAGCAAAGCTAAATTTGCTAGCTGGTTGCAAATATTCCTTCGTACAGCCCTGACCGAAATTTCAGGTCCTTAACTGCTTCTATTTCTGTCAATTCGATTGTCTGAACACCCAAAATATCGTGGCCCGTACTATACTCGTGCAGGAATCGAACCTTCGCGACTTCCGGCCGACAAGCCGAGACATTACGCCCATAATCAAAGCGCCTTCACTATGTCCACCTTGCTGCTTGTTGCTTCTGTAGATTCAGTTGCAGTAAGAGTCAGAGTTTAGAGTCGAGAATCTAGAACGTGAGTTTCGAAAGAGCACCGAATGTTAGAATATTGCGAGTGAGTTAGAGTATAGAAAGATTTTCTATTTTTGTGTAAATATTGTATTTGTTATTTGTTCTCAATTTTTCTGAGTCAACCTGACTGCAGCCTAACATTCCTATAATACTTATAATACTTCAATCAATCTATAAGTACACATGGATATATAATTTATTTAATAGTAACAATTATTACTATTAAGGTTTATTACTATCACTTATCACGTTTCGGTAGAAATATTTAAATCCAGTTTAAATATATTTTGAAAAGTAAAGTTTTTATTGAATGAATCGCTTGTAATTAGATTAACAACCTTAGATGCTAAACTGGGTTTTAAATGAAACTTGATTTTCTAATGGATAGGGGAGTTGTATGACCGTTAAGGTTTCGTGACTGTGTAACACGAAACGGGGTTTTTCGTGCACAATTCCCTTCGAAACAGTGATAAACTTTGTCACTTTTCCAATATTTATCATACACGGTCTTATGGAGGTGAGCTATATTACACAAACCTCGTCACACGTAGTTTACACAAACTGTTATTACTTTTAAACATAGAGATACAGTTCATGTATCTTATTTATAACGCAACAATATCATAATTTTTTCCTTTTCGCTACTTGGGATCGAAATATGTTTTGTGATTCAAAATTTCTGATATAAATTTGCAAAAAGATTTCACATGCCACTAAATTTCACAGATTGACCATTTCCTTAAGTAATCAATATCTAAATACCATTAGTTTACACGTACGTGTGCATAAACATGTGTCAATGTCGTTACATTTATCGACCATCATTAAACACCCTTTCCACATTCCGATTTAATGACAGAGGCAACAAGAATAACAGAACGTCCTCATTAAACCAAAGTAATGCAAAAGGCGAAGATCGGTTGGTAGCCATTAAGTCTGATTAAAATTGTGGTCGAGAAAAGAAGGATGGTACAATTTACAATTCATTGCGTTGAGCTTACGCATGAAGATTGCGCAATATATTCACGTGCGAAGATTTGCGACTTAGTCGGCAAAACAGCATATATATTAATCGCGCATAATTTTATAATAATACACATGGGGTCGTATTGAATCTAAGTTGATTTTCTTCAAAAATGTTTTTCCACTAGGAAGCTAGATAGGAATGATTTTTTTCTTAAAAATTTGACAAAATCGACTGTACGGAGCTTTCAAAATTTTGTTTACGACTCAAATCACTATGAATTTAAGGATTGAGACCTCCCCTTCGCAACAACTCCTTAAAACTTAATGTACAATTTTTTATCCAAAATTTTTATAAAGCATCTAAGCATTTATTACCACACAACCCGAATTTAACTTAATTAAATGTGAAATCGGTGTATCATTGCTCCGTAATTAATCAAAATGGCCGATATGATCTACCAGCGAGTCGTTGTACGATTTTATTATTTTTCATAGCAAAATACCGATAATAATCGTCGAACAGAATAAAACTAAGAAAGATAATGATAAGGATAAAAAATTCTTCGGTAGAACCCTAAAAGTTTCAACTACAACAACGCCTAAGAAAACTTTCCTGTCGTTCTAAACGTGTTAAATGCTAGAATTGCTCGGTCTTATATCGATTAATTAATATTGTAATATTCAGCGATACAGTGTAACGAACTATTTATAAAATATCGTAAAGTGTATTGCAAGATACAGCTTAGAAAATCCATTTTATTCGATCGCGAATGTGTGGAAGTACGATATGCCGTGATAAAGTTAAAGTTGGGATGCTTTGTTCTAGCACGATAGGCATTCTGTTTCTCCTAGGCCGCAGCTTATACAACGATCGAAACTTAAAGGAGCGAAAGCACACTCCGATTCTTCAACGACGTTGTAGGCCAGCTACGTTTTGGTGTAGAGTACTTTCTGCTTCGGTGGTGGCAGCACATAGGGCACAAGGTGGGGGTGTTTCAAAGGCTTAAAAGGCCTTCCAACGTCCTTGTAACACGCAGTTCTGGAATAGAACGTAATAGTATTCCGTTGAAGTAGTAAGCAACTGCAAAAGTGCGACAAATACATTTTTTCCCTTGGAAATTCGATCGTTACCTGCTTGCAATCGTACGAGAATAGTAACGGTCATTTTTCAAGTATCAGTGAACACATTGAAGTATTTAGTTCGAGAAAAGCGCCTGTGAATTTGCAACCTCGTTGCACCCGAAAGTCATCAGAGTTTGATGTTTCAGTGAGGAAAACGGGGCAAGTGACTTTCGTTTCGAAATCACAGCTTCGGCAAACGTATTTTCGAATTTAGTGATCAGTGAACGAACTAAGTGGGAAACACTTGAATAAGTTTTAACGTATATCACAGCCGGAAGGAACAAAACTCTGAAGAAATGAAAAGGTCAAGAAGTTTTCAAATGTTTACAACGTTTCTTTTGTTGGTGTTTTTCGTATCGCCGTCCTCCACTTGGGCACTCACCACTTTTGGTAAAACCAACCCGCAGAACCAAAATCAAAACCCTCCGCCACCGCCTACACCAGGTTCGTTAAAATAACTTATCGATTCGAAAAGCTTTCCACTGCTCCCTTTTGAACTACGTGAAAAATTTACCGAAGAGCATGCTGTTACGAAACCATCGAATTTCAGAAAAAAAGAAACAGATAGAAATTGGAATAATAACATTCGAATTGTGTAAATGGTAATTTTGTTACGATCACAGTATTGTTGTACGCTACACAGTTGTAAAAATTCGATACTCTCTTGGATACAATGAAAGAAATAATCAAAAATTGGTTGTATTAGTAGAATAATATGTATATTTTCTACGCTTCGTTCTTTTTGCAAATAATGCGTATCCCGCTAAAAAAAATTGTCTCTTAAAAACCTAGAATCGAAATGAATATCATTAATTCGATATCGAAAAATGTAGCGATGTGATTACTCTGATTTTGCGCATACAAAAGCACTTTTAGATTTGTATCAAATTTGACAAATTGACTCGCAGTTTTGAATGTCAGTTTTCACGGTATGGTTCAATAATTTCAACGATACACTCTAGCAAAATTACACTCTTAAAATGCTATTACATAAAAAAAAAAAAGTTACATGCGATAAATAATATTATAAAAAGGTAGTCAAAATCGGTATCTTTAAATACATCTGAATAAATATATTACCTTTAATACGTTTACATGTAAAATCTCATTGTAAATTTCAGTTGGAAAAGCTCGTGAATGTAAATTAGAGTCTGATTGCGCTGGTATTCAAAATACAACATGTATAGCAGACGCACGAGATGGAAGAACACGTTGTCTGTGCGGAGACTATTCCGCACCACTTAATGGCGCGTGTACCAATAAATTCAAAGGTAATGAAATTTTGTTAAAAATATCTAATTTCTGTGTGAGAAGGTTTTTATCATTTACGTACTTTATTTTATATATATTAGATAGTTACTGAAAAATATTCACACCAAGCATTATACAATATCATTTTGTTTACTTAACATTACGTATCGCAAAGTGTATTTATATTCAGTTTAAGGAAATACTCAGCTGAAGTTTTTTTTGAAAACAGAAAAATTGAATTTCTTAGTACACGAGGTGCTACTGTCATTTGCATATACTCACGTGTTCCCTAGCAATATATGAAAATATAATAGTGTTGGTAGCAACACTATAGTTATCTATGCAAATTGAAAAGCTTTAAGAATATCATTGTAGTTCACCGTGTACTCTAACGTCAATTTTACTACCCTCCTAAAGTACACACGTGATTTAAAGAACAAACGCAGAAATCGATACACTAATTAACGCGTAAATTAAGGAAATATTGTACTGTTGCATGGTTGGAATTTCATTTTTCCTAGATTCAATTTTATTAGAATTCGTTGATAACTTATAGTGAAACGTTTAATTTTGCATTGGAATTTCACTGTGAGACTAAAAAATGGAGAACTTACAAAATTGGGATGAAACTCTGAGCTTGTATACTGGTTTCTATCTTTATTCATACTTTTTTTTATGCAATATACGTAATTTTTAAGTATAAACTTTGTTGTTTCACATTGAACAAAATTTTTATATTCTCATGTATTATAGCGACAGTCAATAATCTCACAATTCTGTTTTGATAATACAAAATTCTAGCTATAATTATTTCCGCAAGATAAATATTAATAACCCGTAACAAGACTTTGATATTGAAATCTATAACGAATTATTTCGTATTAGAGCACAATTTCAATAAATATTTGTTAAAGCTAAATTGATAATTCAATAAATGTCAGATATCGGAAAATCCGTTGATTCGAAGGTTCAATTGGTTAGTTTGATTTTAGGGAAAAAATTGGCACACCGTTCGGGACTAAAAATTGATCAATTGTTAAAAGTCATGTCGAGGGTACATTTGCGTGAAATTGCGTGATAGCGTGAAGTTAAAACGCACCAAGCTTTTGTGGCAATTACGTATACATTTGGTGTAAATTGGGAGCAGATATAAACTCGTTTAGAACTATCAAACTTAACAGATTTAGTACGTAAAGTAGCAATATTATATTGTTTACTACGTATTTAAGTAAACTTTTTGATGATACAATGCCTGGAAAAAATATTCGTACACCGTGGGTTCCAGATTTTAATTGATAATATCTTTTTCAGCGTATTTAGTACTATATTCTACGACAATTTAGCTTTCAGTGAAGGGATATTTTATTGCAAAAAAAAATATGAAACAAATATGATAACAGAATACCAAAACTATTGGGAAAAAAGTATTCATACGTTAGCATCACCTATGGAAAACTGCGATTCAAATTATAATATTAAGCGAAGTCCTATCTATACATTCTTTTGTTCCTTATTGCCGACAGTATTTTGTTGAATTTCTACTAATAGAAGACGTTTTGTGCTGAAAAAACGACAGATTATCAAAAACAAAAATGTGTACAGGTGTACAAAAGAAAGGAGACAATAATAAAAAATAGAAAGAAAGAAATTCATCTCTATGAAGATTGTAAATCACTTCGTAAAATAACACAAACTGTTGCGAACAATCATCTGACAGGCTATTAAAATTAAACGCAAGAAACAAAAGGTTCGTTGTGCGGAAAATAAAAATTAATCCATTCGAAAGTGTCTCTAGAATTGCATTAAAATTAGAAGCAACAACTGGAACCAGTGTCGCATCGAAAACAATAATTAATAAGTTTAGAAACCATGGACCGCATGCTCGTGTCGCTAAAAAGAAACCCTACATGTCGAAATGTAATAGAGAAAAGAGACGTCCAATTTATAAAATGTTACATAAACAAGCCCGCAGAATTCTGGAATAGCGTCATATTTTTGGACGAAAGTAAATTTAATCTGCGGGAATCCGGTGGGGCGAAAGAATGCGTGGATAAAAAAGGAGAGGAATTTGATAAAAGAGATATTCAACCAACGGTGAAATTTGACGTTGGGAGATGGTATTATGGATGAAAGATTGTATCTAAATATTTAAAAAAAGAAATTTAAAGCAACGTGCCGAAAAATTTGGTACTTTGGATCGTTATTACTTGCAGCAGAATAACGATCCAGAACATAAATCTCATTTAGCCCGCGAATGGTTGTTGTATAACGTTCCATATCTGTTGGAAACTCCACCCCAATCAACGGATATAAATCCCGTAGAACATGTATTGGAAGAAGTAACGAAGAATTAGGAAATATAACATTTCGAACAAAACAAATTCAAAAAATACATTGCTCGCGGAATGGGCAAAAATTGAAAAAACAGTAACAAATAATTTAGCGATACTAAAAGTCATTGTTGATGCAAACAGATATTAAACTACATATTAGTTACTATAATGTATGAATACTTTCTTCCCAGTGGATTTAATATTGGGTTATCATATTCATCTAATGTTTTGTAAAAAAATTATTGATCCTAATAAAATATATTTTAACCAGAAACTGAATTGTAGAATATTTTTGTAAAAACAATTTTTATCTCAATGTTATATTTAAAAAGATATTACGAATAAAAATCAAGAGCTCACGGTGTATGAATACCTTTTTTCATTTTTTCGATATTTCAATGTTATTTAAAATTTTTATTAAATATTAGTATTGATTTGATGCAAATTTTTCAACCAAGTTTCATTAACACGTTATAAGAGTAGAAATAAAAAAGCAAAGATAGACAACTGTAAATCATCTGAAACTTTATTAAAAAAATCGTAGCACAGTAAAAGATCCAAAAGAAAGGATGACGAACTCGTATTTAGTATGAAAAAAAATAACAAATTTTTTGTATCGAAACTTTTTAAACATCGGAACAAAGAATATTTTGAAATAAAGTATTACCGAGAAGTAATTACATTTATTATCGATGAATTCTTATCTTACGTTCTATTAAGTGTGTACAGGGTGACACATTTCAATCTATGAATACTTAACGTAAGAAAAATGTGAAGTCAACGTAGGTGTCTTGCACTGAACATTTTAATAAAATATTTCAACGTTCTACAACGCTGAGCAGCGAACGTCTTTCAGCTTATATTCATGATCAGGACCATGTATTCGAGCATTTACGGGGACCATACATAGCTTACTACGTTTCGCCGTGGTCTTTTCACATTTTTCAATAAAATCATGCAACATATTGTGTCGTTGAACTCGATTCGTTACGCTCTATCAATCTGCAGAAAAAAATATACCACGTGCCATTTAACCCTTTCACTGCAGCAGATTTTATTACGTGACGCGTATGGCAGACGGTGGATGTTCAAACGCGGCCGTAAAATCTTTTGTTTCGGTATTCAGAATTTAAAAAAAATTTTTAAATTTACCGTTTTAAGAATTAAGATGGAAGTACGCAAAGGAGAAAAGTTAAATTCGCGCCAACGTCACTAAATGCCAAGAGCACTTGCAAATGTCAACAGCAGAGAAAGGGTTAAAAAAATTCAACTGATCTTCAAATCACTTTAATGCCTCCACTAGGTGTATTTAGAAGTATGTATAGGGTTGTTCGAAAAGTTCGTAGCGAATTTGAGGAAGAATTCAAATCATCGTATCTCTGTTTCTAATTGGGGTAGCGACAAAAGCCAGAAGGTATTTTACTCGTTAGTTAAAACCGAATCCAAGTAAGGTAAAGGGGGGCGGATATAAGTCGAAATATATTTTCTGCGACGGAGCGTTATCACTAAAAATTCAACGTCCACGCTGCACTGCAGAAAATATAGTTCGACTTATATTCGCCCCTGTTCACCTTACGAATAATTTGAAGGGTGCACTGGATTTATGCTCAAATAAAGGAGAAAAATACCTTTTGGCTTTTGTCATTATCTCAACACCAAAGGTTTGAATTTTTCCTAACTTTCGCTAAGAATTTTCTAAACTACCCCATACACGCTTTAGTGTCCTCCTTCACCCCCTTTAATCTCCCAGAAGCAAGTTTTTCAGTTCAACACAGTTTTCGAAATATGAGCATTTATAGATCAAAATATGTGACCCTGCATATTGTTAGTTAGTGATATATACACATATACAGTGAAACACATTATAAGTGATCAACATGTATTTCAACTGCAGCATTACGTTCTACGTGTACCGATGATTCTGAATGCATCGATGGTGCACACTGCATACAACGGAATACTACTATATCCGGGAAACGTTGCTATTGTCAAGAAGGATATTACGAGGAGAGCCCTTTGCTTTGCAGTGGTATGTTAACCCTCCGCCTCGTTTCGTAATACAACGAAATTGAATTTTAAATACAGCTTAATTTCATAGTAACAATTTTATTTTCGTAAGTTTTCGAAAAGTATCTAATAACACTGTATTTGTTTCCACAGGTAGCGCATCTACTCTTACGTTTCACACAGCAATTCTCTTAGTTACTTTAAGTCTCATGAAAGAAACCTTCAGTTCCTCATAAACCCTTAAAGATTTTGAGAAAGAACGCATGGAAATCCTACTAATTTTAAAATTGCTAACTCTTTTGAATTATATATCAACCAAAAATACAATACTGTGTAGAAAATAATTTCAGATTTAATACAACATGATACATACAATACAAAATATTATACCATAAAAAGAAACATGATCTATAGTTGTATACTATTATTGTATTCAATAATTACATTTGAAAAGTAATGATTTTATTGGTGAATAAAATTATCTCTTTTATTATTTTTTCTATCTATCACCTTATCTATTTTTTAAATCACATATTAAAACCACGCAACTGTATTTTTGGGTGATTTAAAAAGAAACAAAGCGTGCAACATCAATCAATACGAAGCATCATATGCTTTAATTCTTAATCAACCGGTCTCATTGTTCTCATGTTTACATCGTACAACGTCGTTTCAATTATTAATTACCCTTGTAACTGAAAGTAGTTGAAATATTTATTTTTTTCAAAAGCATATATTCATGGACAGTTACAGCTTATCGGTTACATCCTCTACATAATAACGAAATATAAACCGAACAATTAAAAATTTCATTCTAGACAATTAAGCATTAAAATTTACTCTATAACGAAGCAGTCTGTTGCATGGTAATTACAAAATTGTAATTAAAATACCGCAACAATATTATACCACTGTTGAGTATAAGTGTGCGACGAAGATTTTATCCATGAGTAAAAACTTCTCTTGATACTTTGCAATAAGGGTTTACGAAAAATCTAACATATATTATGGTAATTCCAATTTCTATATTGTACATCTACTTAGATATTGCGAAAATGAATTCTTACTCGTTGAACATTTAAAAAATGTTTAATACTTATGACTCTAAAATCGAAAATATATCGTCATCGAATATCGGGTAATACACGAAATCCATTGCAATTGTTTAGTAAATTAACGATATACAAGGAACTTTTAAAAATCGAAATATTTCATTGCTTGATTTTTCTAGTTTGCATTTAGTTGTCTATGTATAAATGCAATTTTAGCTTTATCTTAATTTCACACGCGTTACTATAATAATAATTAATTCAATTTATTTTCAAACAGTACGTATTAGATTGGAAACTTTTATAATGTATGAGATCATTCCAATAAGCTGATTCGTTGAAAACGATAGTGATACGCAGCCTTAGACATTCGTGCCGAAAGAACTTTCAATACATTTTTCTCGAAACCACATTTTCCAACACGGTGTACGCTGCAACTTGAGTAAAACTCAATCGATTTTTATGAAAGTTTGTACACGTATATTCTCTAATGCGTTCCGTATCGTCCGACGTATAATATTTTCGATGTTTTAATACACCTTCGAATCATAAATAAATTTATAGATAGATAGATAGATAAATTATGTGCAGTTTTAATAAATAAAGGACCAGCTTTTATAAAGTGTAGAGCAATCCATTTTTCTCACGAAAAGGTTCAATTATTCACGGTGAAAACGATACATAAAAATTTAAATAATTTAATTGGGAATCAGTACTGTTTAGATCCATCATATTTTCCTGATCAAGAGATTATTTTCTATTTCGCTTTTTACAATATTTCTCAAACAACAAAGGATTTAACGACCACTTCAAATCAATCTTGGATAAATATTCAGCTTAAAAGATAAAATACTTTTTGATAAAGATGAAGAAAAGTTGTCGCAAATAATGGTAAGCATAGTGTAGACTGAAAATAAGTGTAAATAGTATTTACTTTAAAGAAACAACGTTACTTCTGGAATGATCTGATGCATTATATCAGATACATTACTTAAAGGACTGTAAGTTATTTCCCTGAGAACTATTACAAATGGCAATAAAATTTATGCACAATGTACAGTACAATGAAGCATCGTATTTGTTAAATTAGCATTATCGGTAAAGTAGTATTTAACAAATTATTTCTTTTTAGAGACAATGTTTATTTAAACAATTAATTGGTTTTGTATAGTTAAAGAAATATGTATGACAAGAAATACTATTTAAAATGCATCGTGTATGTTTAGAACTTATTTTGCAAACAATTATAAGCACTACCTCGTATTGTACGAATAATTAAATAAAATAATTTCCATGTTTGTGTATGTTTTAACGTGTCATCTTTTCAGCAGAGTCTTGAAAAGTAATTTTGGTTATACATCATTAATTATGCAAAATGTGAAGAATTATTTCAAATAAACAATCATTTCTAGAATAGCTATTCGAATTTACAAAAATTTATGTATAATTGGATTTGTTATATTTACGATTAGCATTAAACAATAATTCTCGAAGGAATAATAGAAAAATATTTCCATAAAACTTCGTTTTCGTAAAGTTTCATTCTCAAAATTTGAATATGTCTAATAAAATTTGATGCGATGTAATAATATCATTTTGCAGACAAAGTAATCCAAACTTTTAGTAATATTACTATTGTCATAATTTTAAAATAAATGCTAACCTAATAAATCGTTTAATTTTTAACCTACATACGTATGTATATAAGAAAACGTTCTTTTGCTCACACTTTCTTCCTACTTATGATGATGTGTTATGTGTATTGCACGTTCTACTTTAATAATTCAAATATAACAATTATATTTATATATAAAAACTCTCATATGCCAATGATGCCTTAAATACCAATGACTGTACGAAATAAAATATGTAATTATTGATGACTAAACATGTACTAGTAATTTACGCTAACGCGAATTTATTAAAACTCAACAGCAGCATTTATTTCGATTACAATGCATAGTATTTTATAATGTTTGTAAGTTGATAATAGTATAATAGTAAAATGTATTACTCATCTCTACGATATGAACATGTTACCAACACGAATACTTTAATGCACTAATAAATATTTCCGTATTTTAAATACATATATTCCGTTATTTTTAGTTAATTACATATTAATTAAGAATTATACGAGTCAATTATAAAAGGTGAATGAATAGAAAACTGTATATGTATATTTCAGTAATCGAATCTTTTATTTATTATATCTTTTGAAGAACCAATTGTGTTACAGTGTTTCCACTTTGCCCGCCAAAGATGAATGTCTCAGTAGGAAGCACGTGTAAAATACGAAAATCTAAAAATTATAAATTTGATTAAATAGTCTTTATATTATCGTGCGTGTTACTAAGGATAGAAATTAATTAAAGTGTAATAAAAGTAACAAACGGTATTGGCACTAATTCAACCAACGAACAAGTATTTTAATCAAAATTGTAATATGTAAATTCTAAACCATATACGTGAATTTATTAGATGTTAGGGATAGTTTTTTGGGTTTTCCTTTTTATAATATGGTTTTTTCTTAAATCTAAATATTTTCCACCATTCTGTACAATTTCAAATTATTTTTCTGATAAAGTCGCGAATTCCTTCACAAAAAAAAATAATACAGGTTTTCAAGCGATGAGGTTATCAATGAATTTTCGTATGTTGTCATAACTTGTCAAATATTTATTTCCGAAGAAATACTATACTAAGTTGAATAAATAATAGTTATTTGGTATCAAATCTGATAAATTAACCACGTGAGATAAAAAGTCCTAATCAAAGTTTATGATAATTTTTTTTATTGATTTTGTGAAGTGCAATTGAAAAACCCAACCCAAAAAACTTTCTCTAACATCTAACATTATTATAGTATATTTAAGTAATTCTGTACCACACATATTTACTTAAATGTACAATAAAAGAAATAAGAATTTGTAAAAACAAAAATAATTAAGTGTTAATTACAGAGTGATTTTTAATTATATGATGTCAATACTTTAAGAGCTTAATGTAGAATCAAAACAGAAGACAAATTTATACAAAAAAACTTGTATTCCTGCAAGTAATGATTTAAGAGACTGAAGTTTCTAAAAGATTATATGAAGTTAATGTTATGGGCAGTTATTCCAAGCATCTTTTTAATTATATTTTTATTTAATAAATTAATGTGAAGCTCAAATATCTTATATTGCTGTAGCATCATTTTCTCCTTTTAAAGTCAAGGTTTATCTTGAAATTTACTTAAAGTATTAACATGTAATTAATAAGAATCACACTGTACATCTTACATGCAAAAATGATACATTTTTATAATTATAAAAACATACCAATGTATTCCTCTATTAATATCACTTCTGAATGATATATTGAAAACAATGGTTATCTTCCTATGCAATTACAATTTCTTAAATTATTTATTTACAAAATTCGAATTAGCTAGAAAGGAAACTGCTGCAAAAATGTCTTTTTAAGTGATTCAATATATCATTCTTTATGAGATTACAATAACATTCTATTTTTTAAATTACAACTGTTTACAATTTTTCTCTTTTTTGTGACAAATCATTAATCAATATAAGATTTAGACTTATTCAGAAAAACTTCAAAATATCTATGCACTTATGTACATATGTGCATTTACTAATTATATATACTAAAGTGATTACTTGTATTTACTATCACAATGCTCAATTTTAAAAATAGACAAAACAATTTAGTCAATAAACAAACAATAACAGACTACATTGCATGCATTTTTTTCTATAAAAAGAGACAACCATACAACACTGCTTTATAAGAATACCATAAGTAGATTAATCTTGTCAACTATAATTTGAATAACATGCTTTTCTAAGAAATAGAGGGTATAATACTATTTTTTCATAGAAATATGTTTTAGACACTAGTATACACAACACACTTCAGATAATGTATTGTAGAAATACATACATATACTATATTTATAATCCTTTGTGATTCAATGTATGCAAATTATTTTAAATTAATTTGAAATGGATAAGAAATATTAGATATATCTAGTTTTGCTTAACTTCAAATAATTTCAAATTTTATTTATCAATTCACAATAGATTAAGAAATGTAATTATTGCTTTATTCAATAATAGAACTTACAATTTTGAAAATGTTTCTCTATTTCCTCCTTTGTCCAATTGCATGAAGTTAAAACTAAATATCCAGAAGGCAATAGAATTTTGTATACATTTTTTATATAGCTCTGTCGTTTTAATGCAGAATCCTCTGGATGTAAGCTAATGGCATCATATGTTCCTTTATCATGTGCTAATTTAAAATCCATTGGCAATTCAAAATCTTCAGTATTTAATATGTCATAAACTTTTAAATTGATATGTGATATATTATTTTCCTTCAATATTTCTTTAGCTAATTCAATTGCCTTTTGTGAATAATCTATACCTATCAATTTTTTAAAACCATTTCGTGCAAGTTCAATTAATGTCATCCCATTACCACATCCTATATCAATTATTTTATCATCTTTATTAACTTTGAGTTGCATGTTGATGCATCTGAAATATTAGATTACTATGCATTGAGGAAAACTCTTAAAACATGTTTATGTTAACTGGTTATACAATGTTATATATAGGATGGTTCTAGAAAGTAGGACAAGATAAAACTCATTCCAAGTGAAAATATAATAAAAAGAAAAGTTAAATGGTTGTAGGTAATTTGTATTTCATTTCATATACTTTTTTCTGTATAAATCGATTCTTCCAGGCATTCCACGTGTAAAAGTATTAGTGTAATGCATACGAAAAATGAGGAATTTACAAGATAAAATCATTTTAACGTTTGATTAAATTTTTTGTTTTATTATATTTTTTAGTTTTGTTTTAAAGAAAGGATTATATCTTGTACCAGTTTGTAGAATTGTATACTTAATAATAAGTTACTATATAAAAATGGATTTATCTTTTTTCAAATTAAATATTTTAAATTATCATATTTCAATGATAAATTTTAACATGCATAGTGCACGAAAGAGAGCACCACTAGTATTAGATTAAACTATTACTATACTGATTGTGAGATTTGACTATTTATGTTACATATATTTGCGTTTTATAATTTTCTTACGTATTATTTGAAAAACTTACTGTATAATTTTTAATGAATTTTTTATACCAAACCATATTTCACCTACGTCTCCGTGTTCCTTAAAATTATCAAGTTCTTCTGAATATACTCTTTGCCAACTAAAATATAATTGTGACATATGAAGTAATGTTTATTATGTTTTACAAATACTATACGTATTACTTACTAATCAAGAGTACCTAATTCTGATGAATCTAATTCTTCAATATTTTGATCTGTCATAATTGTATTTTAATTATATGAAAATTACAGTTTAACTATTGCTTTATTAATTAAATGTATTAGTATTAGTATACGAATATATTACTTTTATTTAAACAGCGATTTACACTACATGTATTTAAAAAATTTCTAGAAACATAAAATTGTAACCACAGAATTTTATTCAATAACATAACCTTCTTTCTAAACCTAACCTATATCTGATATAGTCAATTATAATAAGCGTGATTGTGCATGAATCGCAAATTGTGCAAATGGTTCATATATTCTCTACTTTTTGAAAAGTGTTAGTTTCTTAAGTATGGCCATGATAAATTTACTGCAAATTGGTAAGTAAAAATTTTATTTGACATGTATTATATTTTCGTAGCGTTTGACGTATTATTACATTTGTAGTATATGTTTTATCGGTTAACATATACAAATATACAAAGTATTAAATAATAGAGATGTTTAAATTTTTTATGTTGGTGATGTATTAAGTTGGAAATTAAATTGTACAATATCTATTATATACTGTGAAGTAAAATGTACATTTTACAAACAGTATTTCTTTATTAGTATGTTTATGTATAATTTATGGTATCCTTAAATAAATTATTTTTGGCATTTAGGTTCTTTTCAAAAATATTGAAATATACTTTTGTTACCATTTAGGAAAACAATGGGGAAAACCTTTCAGTTTCTTTTGTCACCAATTTTCTGCAACAGCAAATTTAAAACAAATAAATGTTAAACCAAAAACAGGCATTTTAATGTTAAATATGGGTGGTCCCAGTCACATTGAAGAAGTACATGAATACTTATTACGTATAATGACTGATCGTGATATGATTCAACTGCCATTTCAAAGGTTTAGTTTGATATGTTAGAAATTTGTAGTTAAAGAAATGTTAAATTGGAGAAGTTTTTATATTATAATGTACATTATAGTCGTCTAGGTCCTTGGATAGCTAAAACTCGTACACCTAAAATTCAAAAGAAATATGCAGAAATTGGTGGAAAATCTCCTATTTTAGAATGGACAAATAGGCAGGGTAAACTTTTGTGTGAAAAATTGGATAAGATTTCTCCAGAAACTGCACCCCATAAACATTATGTTGCTTTCCGATATGCTAATCCTCTTACTGAAAATACACTTCAAAAGATAGAAGAGTAAGAATGTTGATGTATTACTAAATAACAATAAATTTTAAATATATATACAATTAATAGTTGTAATGCTTTTCTTTCATACAGCATATGCATATTTTCTTTTTAGAGATGGTATTGAACATACAGTAGTCTTTTCTCAATATCCTCAATATTGTTGTGCCACAAGTGGATCAAGTTTTATTGAGATATATAAGTATTATATGAACAGGTATTTTGTTATAAATTTGCTTTTGTAACTTCTGCTTGTGTGTATTCACATTCTTAGTTGGGGAATATATTATATCTTCACTGATTTAAATTATTGTATAATTTAACTTTTTCATTTATTAAAATAGCAAAAAACAAATGACAATTTTCAGTATAAGAAAATTTGTGAAAGTATTGTTTTATCATGAATAGAAAAAATGTGTAATTAAAATGTGTCATGTATAATTATAATTTTTCAAATAAATTAAGTTTCATTTTCATTATGATTTTTTACAATCTGTATTAACATGGCAGCATACTTTAATATTTTTAATTTAATGTATACTTTAACTAAGACAGCATAAGCTAAAATGGCACCTTTTTGAATGTAAAACTATCTTAGATTGCATTTAAAATTTAATAATTTACAGACAAGTTCCTTCTAATATGAAATGGAGTATAATAGATAGGTGGGCAACACATCCATTGTACATACAAACAATCTCAGAAAGAATCAATGAAGAATTAGTTAAATTCCCTGAGGATAAAAGAGACGATGTTATAATTTTATTTTCAGCTCATTCACTACCATTGAAGGTTATGTTTTACTATTAAAAACAAATTTGAATTTGAATAGTTAATTATGACAAATCATAAAACATTTTCTTCATTATTCTATTTTAGGCTGTATCTAGGGGAGATGCTTATGCATCTGAAGTAGCAAGTACAGTTGCTCTAGTAATGGAAAAATTACAATATTGTAATCCATATAAATTGGTGTGGCAATCAAAGGTATACAGATTGTTCTTTGTTTTATTTAAAATTACATTAAATCAATATGTTCTTAATTATAAAATCACTGGGTAAAAACACATTACTTCATTGGGATTATTCAACTTGTTTTAAAAAATATGTACAGTTGTATTATAATTTTATGTTGTGCATATATATAGGTTGGACCTGTCTCTTGGTTGGAGCCTTTTACTGATGATGCTATAAAAGCTTATGTTAAACAAGGGAAACGCCACTTTATTCTAGTACCAGTAGCTTTTGTTAATGAACATATTGAAACCCTTCACGAATTGGATATTGAGTATTGCAAAGAATTAGCAAAAGAAGTAAATGTTGATATATATTACTTAAAATTTGCAAATAGTAACAAAGAAATATTAATTTTTTCGTTTTCAGCTTGGTATTGATAAAATCAGGAGATCTGCAGCACCTAATGATCATCCTACATTTATAGCAGCTTTAGCAGATATTGTTAATTCACACCTTAAATCGAATAGATCAATAAGTCCCATGTTTTTAACACGCTGTCCTCATTGTGTTAGTAAAAATTGTATAGACAGCAAAAATTGGTATGCACAAATATGTAAAAATTAAGAAATTGGAAAATAAAAAGTCTATTCATGACCTATATCATTTATACATACAAAAGATATATTTCTTCTTATGAATCTTTATACCATTTAATTTCAGTAAAAGTAATATTAAAAATATCAATTTTGTTAAGTAGATACAGTAATTACAATTTAATTATATTATAAAATACACAGCAACTCTGTATATATTTTGAATAAAATATTGACATTCTTCAATAAACACTTCTGTATCCGTTTTCTTGTTAAACGTTTTATTTTATTTATTTGTAAAAATTATTTCCTTCCTTTCTCTTCCTTAGTCCAAAAGTTCATAGTATAGTGGTAACAAAATTTTGTTTACGATAAAAAAAGATATATTGAAGGAAAGAAATTTCTTATGTAAGCGATGGAAAAATTAGTTTACCATTAACAAGAAATATAGGATATTCAATTTCATACCGTTTATAACAGTGACCCTTCGATTTTTTTGTAGGTTACTTTCGAGGGAGCAATCACGGTAACAACAGAGATCGTCTGCCACGCTCGAGGTATCGAACGTGAGTGTCACGGCGCTGGGTGTCACGACGCTTATATAAATGCGCGGTGTCGGTAGCCACGCTCAGTATGTGTCATGCTTTGCGAGTGCGAGTGTCGTCTGTCATGGCGGCTCGAGTGCGGTTGAAGATGCAATGCGGCACTGTCGTATTGCTGTTCGTTGTCATTATTGTGGTGTGTGGTATGGATCTTGTGTGTGGAATGTTCGAGCATCGCCACTGCAATCATCAGCATCCCCGGGCATACGAGGTAAGCATTAAAAACAGGATGACTCTTGTCCTCTCTTTCTTTCTCTCACTCTTACTCTCTTTTCACGTTTGTTGTCTTCGTTCACTTGGTAGATGCACGTCAACCAAGCAGCTCGATTTCTCGTTGCTAGTACTATGTCTCTTCTATCACATTTCTTCTTGGCTGATATTTAGCAATCTTTCCTTTTTCCTTTCTTCTGGCAATTTCCTTTCCTTTATTACATTAAATGGGTTCTCTATTCAACCTGTGGCGAAGAAATCGCGTGATTTCAATGAAGTGTGCGTTTCACGTGTCACGTGCTGTCTTTCTTACACACCTGTGTCTTGTGTGCGTCCTACTTTATGTTCAACAAATGAACACCGCTCTTTCACCATATTATCCTTCTAATAATCGTTCATATTAATACTAACGCATCTTTCTCATTTTCTTCAAGTCTGTGTTTCTAAAAGGATTTTACATACATATAAACGTTTCGTTCTCAATAACCGTTTCGAGTCGTTTCACGTTAATAATATGAAATGTTCAATTTGTGCAGTGTTTTATGAATATTATCAAAGTGTGCAATGTTAACCGATTTTCAGAATGTTGTTTTTCAGTGTTACTTTTTTTAGTGACTTAATTATTATATATTGCAATGGGTTTTGAAATAACATTTCTTATAACGTATCTATTGCGAATCGTGACTTCGTACGGAGAAAGGTGCCCGTGAACTTGTTTTCATTCGCTGGTGAACCACGTGTTTTTGGTGCGGGCACGTGCTATTGCGTCCTTAGTTGTATTACCTTTTACTAAATCCATTCTGTTTTGTTTTGATGCGATTATATTATTACATTTGATTCGTTAATTTTTTTAGTGTAAAAATGTTATATAAAGATATGTTTAATATATGTATGTCAGCTAATGGTTTTAACGGGTTTTGAAATACAGTACAGTCGGGAGATTCGTTACTGATTGCCATCACGACGAATCAGTATCATAACCTTCATTAATAATAATGTTATCATGTAATATGTTATTCTACCTTTATGTTTTACTGAATATTTTG